AAAAATTACAAAAAAAAATTATATATGTCAATATATATAAACATGTATATATAAGTATTAAATTTTTTAATAATTATATTTTATTTAATAATTTTTTTTTTAATATAAATACATTTATTTAAATTTTATATATTTAATATAAATATTTTAGCAGTACATTAATTAAATATAATAAATAATACTTATAATATTGTTTATAATTAAATATAATAAACACTAAATTATTTAGATATTATTAAAATATTGTATTAGTAACATTAATTAAATAATATCTATTTTTTTAAGATATATATAGTTAATTTTAGTAAAATTCATAATAACTTTAAAAATAGTAATAAATATATAAATTAAGAGATAAATTTTTAAAGTGTAACATGTTTGTATTTGTCAAGAAGAAAAATGTTTATTTTAACACAAAAAAGAAGGTAGTGTAATACTTACATCTCTAAGTAAATATTAGTATAAAGAATGTTTTAATGGTAATATTTTTTTTTGTAACAAACAAAAGCTAACGAAAATTTTAATAAAATATTTAAAAAAAATAGATAAAATGTCACATATTGAAACTCTTCAAAGAGGAGACTATAAATTTTAATATTAAAGGAAAAAATAATATAATATTTGTATCTTTTACGGGAAGGAAGTGTAGTTCACTCTAAAAAATAAATATAATTTTTTTAATGCAAATATGAGATATCCACTTATTAGGAAATAAAAAATAAGATTAATCTGAATATTTTATATTTTAAAAACTAACTATATATTTGGGGGGAAAAATCCAAAATATATGAAACATGAGAATATGATATTAAGTTCAGTTTCCTATAAACAATGTGCTTTCTTTTTTTAATACCAATTTTGATACTTAAAAACAAGCGCAGCCATAAGATTTTTTTTGAAAAGTCAATCAAATTCCACAAAGTTTACTTTAGATTTAAAGGGTATTTATTTTAATTAAATTATACTTTTCATGATTCACTTTCAGCCACGTTAAACAAGATTATAAACACGATCTTGGTCATTCATTCATAACGTTTATCTACATACACATGCTTATAGTACGTTTATTTAGACACCAAGTCTTTTCTCATAAAATTACATATTTCGTCACAATTATTTAATATTTTATTTTTAAAATATTACGTGAGAGTTATGAATAAGAGTTGCTTATTTGTTAAGAACTCTTATTTATTTTTAAAAGAAATATATCAAAAAATTATAATTTAAATTTATTAAAACATTTTTAAATAAATAAATAGATCATTTTTAATAATATTTAAATATGTTTTTAGTTTATTAAATTTAAGATAAATTTATTTTTAATTTTTCAAATTTTAAATTAATTATTTAATTTATGTAATTTCAAAAAAAAAATATTGATTTAATTCTTATACTCAAATTTTATCAACTAATCTATCAAATATTTATATAAATCTATTTATTGATATTTTTATTAATAAAATAACAAATTAAACTCAATGATATTGTATAATTATATTAATATATTTCTTTTGTTTTCAAATATATTATTAATAATATAAAATATTAAAATAAAATTTTTAAAAATTATAAGAATAAATATAACAATTTTAAGTTTGAGAAGAAAAAAAATATACTCTTAAATTTAAAAATTAAAATAAAAAACTTAATTTGATATGAACTGTTTTGAGATGATGTAGATTCGGCTGACAGAAGTCTTGTCAATCAGTCACTGATTGACGTGTATCTTCTTTTTATTCATGTACTTTCACCTTATCTCGACAACATCATATACATTAATATTAATTTTTTTTCCCAGATTATTCCACCAATCTCAACGGCTTTTATTTAATTTTAATCCATTCTCCCAATTTTTTTATTGGTTAGACTAAAGCAAAAAAGGACACAAGCAGATGATAAAATACTTGATAATTAATTGAAGTGAATTTGTATATAGTGTGCGAAGGGTGAAGGAACCTTTTGCAGTGACCAAAATGCACGTTTTGTTTTTCTTTAAAGGATACCAAATATGCTGCATGCACCGTCTGAGGATAGCTAGTGGCTAGAGAGACGTAGAGAATGGGACTTTTCAGTTATGGTTGAGGATCTTGAAGTTGCAAGTCAAATGGTAAAATCCCAAATATAAAAACAAGGTGACGAGAATAGAGCCAAAAACTGCCTCTACTTTAGTTTTGTTTGTTTGCGTGGGTGAACCAGACTTTTCTTCAAGAGTACCACGCGTTTACGACAAGCACAACCCAACTTATGCAACGAATAACAACTTTATGCCATTTTAATATTACTTGCAATGCCTTTTTGAGTTGGAACTCCTCACTTCTCATCTAAAGCCAGTTGCTCCGCCGAGAGGTTTGGCAAGAATCCACTGTGTGACAAAGACCTTTCAGGTTTTACAAATTTGACAATCAAAACTTTTGCTTAAGCATGGCATTGATCGTTGAATCATCAAATTCTTTGAATTTAAACCAAGGCAGATAAACAAAACACTCCAAAGAATGTATATTACTCGGGCACGTGTTTGAGAGAAAAACTCGTTCCATGAGAAAGAGCCGTATACAAGACCTCTAATGCTTCACAAGTAACATTAAAATAAACATGACTTAGTTGACAACTTATCCTCGGCAGCATGAGCCGTATCGTCTTGAATTCCAAGGAGACTCCCTCTCTCTATTATAATCATAACATCCTCAGTGGGCTCAAAGTTGGGGAAATTTTTTTAATGGGCCTTCTCATTGTCCAACTTAAAATCAGTGTTGTGGGTCAAGCAAGTATGTTGCTCCCATTAAAATCTTCAGTCACCAGGCTCTTGCGTTTGCACCAACATAAGTACTCGGGAATTGGCCCATCATTTCCAATAACCCAGACATGCTCAGCAACATCGCCCAATGTCATCCTTAGTTCTGGGTCTGCACAACATCAAGTTCAATTGAGAACCATAAAATGATGAGACCCCCCAAAAAAATAATTAGGATGATAAAAAGTTTGTCTAGGGAAAGGAAGAGCAAAACATGGAATATTTAGTCATGTCTGGGAAAGTGGAATGCGATATACCTTTGCAAAGTAATCCTTCTATTAAGTTCTTTAACAGGGGGTTAATGTCATCTGGCAGAACTAAAGGATCATTGACTATCTGGATAAGGAAGAAAACATCAAGCTCAGATTTTTGTGATAGGTTAAAGAAAGTAACATGAATTCTATGTAATAACACTAGAGGGTAAATTTATATATATTTTACTTTATCATATGTGTCTTGAAGAGTGTCTCCAAGAAATGGATATTCACCCAATATCATACAGTACAAAGTAACTCCTACAGCCCACGTGTCTGAAGCTTTACCATGATAAGTAAGACCTAAATAATACGAACAAAATAGCAGTGAGAATATGTACTTTCATAGAGTCCATGGAGCACAGTATCAAGCAAGGTTGAAAAGAAATCTGTAACCTAAACAACATTCTGGTGCTGTGAAAACAGGAGTGCCAGGTGATCGACGAAGTTCATCATTGCCATCCTGAAAAATAAACCAAAGTATTAATTCCTTATTAGTTGTGAGGATATATCTTAGTACACATGTAATGTCACCAATATATCAAAGGGAGAAGTTTGAAAGGGTGAGTGAATGTGCTTGGGGATGTAGAAAACAATAATTAAATCAAAATATATTATTTTCTACGCTTGATTAATCATTTTGAGGAAAAATACCAACTTCCTAGGTCCTGACCTCCATTCTAAGATTAGCTAAACTCTTCTGTATACCATCGAAGGAAAATTAACTGTCAAAATACTGCTGTGAACCTATTGCCATGGTATTTGCAAGAGTGGAGTAAGAATCCCATCGATTTGCAAAGCCACGATATCAGCACAATGAAGCAAAAACATCAACAAAACATGAGGCTTCTGCCTCTTAAAATTATGTAATTGGCACATTAATGACTTTGAGCTTTCAAATGAAGTATTAACAAGGTACCAACTTTCTTTCAAACAATCAAATTTCGATTTCACACAAAATGTAAGAGGATTGGAGAAAATTTTCAGCATTCCCATATTTTCAAGTGTCAAACAGTTCAGTAATCACATCACCTCAAAAGCCTGGCTGACACTGAAATCCCCTATCTTTACTGTGCCATGACGAGTAATCAACAGATTATCAGGTTTTATATCCCCATGCACTATATTCTGCATTGAAACAAATTAATATAGAATCACCATACTGACAAAGTCAAACTATTTCAAAGCATGTAACATTAATGAGACTGAACACGTACAATAAATGATATTTTGGTAACCAAGTTTTTTACGCACACATCTAATATCATGAATTTAGTGATATGCAAAAAATAGACTTCAGTTAACTTTAGGCACAAGCATAAATATTATCAGCTTCACGTTGACAACAAAACTAATTTTAAGAGTGCAAAGGATAGCTGATAGCGTACATTAACCTAGAGGTTAGCCAAAAAAACATTTGCAATAGTGTCTACTAGTAATTCAATTCATAAAGTTTTTTTTATTTATTATTATTATTTTTTTTTTTAGAAAAACCATGAAAAAGTGAAAGACATAAACTTACATAACTATGAAAACCACATGATGGAATGTAAAAGTGAATGTGTGTATGTGCGTGTGTGTGAGAGAGAGAGAGAGAAGAGAGGAGGGGGGCATACAGTCATCATTAACCACAAAAAAGATTGGTTGAGAGATAATACATGAGCATGGAGATATGTTAATCCTGAGACTATGTCACGCATGTATTTCCTAGCAGTCTCTTCACCTAATGCACAACGACGACCTGTACCCTCACAAACCCATTTGCTTTCCACATATTCAAGTACTGTAAAAGTAAACAACAGCAGTTAAGCATTGAACTAATTAGAGATTCTTAATCGAACTTGAGGCTCAAATACATATGTACAAATTTCAGGAGCAGTCTTCATTAAATAACAAAACCAAGAAGAAACTAGCCACAAGTACCCATGTAGAAGTCATCTGACTCTGGGTCATCAATCACCTCAATGAGATTGACTATATTAGGATGTTCTACCATTTTCATAATCAGTACCTGAAAATAATGTAATTGTCTATTAAAATACCGCAGGGACAGAAGAACATCAAAAAGATTTAAAAAAATAATAAAATGGAACATAAAACACTGGCAACAGAATAAAAAACGTTCCTATTTTTCAAATTGACCTATATGCATGCCATGGTATAAGAAAGAATCACAGAACACAGATGGCACTATATTCCATAAGAACAGTAACTCTCTAGGAGCAACAAATTAGTAGCAGTTACTATATACTGTGAGTGAAAATAAAGTGCCACATGAAGCAGTAGCAGGCAAGCTGATAGGTAATGACCAATATGTTGGCCAAGTTTAAATATATTTACACTTGTATAACATTTCTAGCACAAATTATGATTGAGGATATTAAAAGGAAAAGGCCAATGCCCTGACCATGAAATGTGGACCCTCCCAGCCAACCCCATATTGTTCATAAAAAAGGGATACTAAAAAGAAATATACCTCACGCAGAACATCAGTCATGGCAGTTTCAGATGGTGCAACACGAAGCTTTTGTAAATGAGACTTGTGAAAGGACTGCAGTTCAAAAGAGTTAACCTCAATAAATGACTATCTGCGGCTTTGTCTTGATAATAACATTGCATAAATGCATGTTGCAGTCTGCCTTTGATTAGTTTTTATGTTTATTCAGTCTTATAATGTAACTCAGCAATTTCTCAGTCACAAAAACTAGTCCAACAAACTACCAGTGTCACACTTCCATACTGTCAGGAGCAGTGACCCTGGCCATGTTACAAAAGCCCTGCTATTATAAAGTAATAACTTCCCGCTCACACCAAAAAGTTTCCTTACCTTAATTGCATAAGGCTTTCCGTCAACACAACTTTGATAGAGAGCCTGCAATGTGTATCAGGGCCGGGCTCAGGATAGTGGATTTGATGAGAATAGAGGGAAAAAAAAAACTCAAAAACGATGCTTACCACTTTGCCATAGCTTCCAGAGCCAATTTTATACTCTCGAACATATTCATTTATCATCTTGTTCCCATTTTCATCCTGAAGGGATAAAAACATTTAAATAAAAGGCCATGATAAAAATAAATAAATAAAAAAGATATACATTGCAGTATAAAGTTTTGACTAATACAGATCACCATTCAGACAGGTTTAGACACACTTAAACGATAAGAAATTCAAGACTAAGACTAAATTGTAGGATTTATAGTAAACTCTGTAAAATAATAGGGGAAAAGAAATTACACCAAAATAATTTTGTAAAATGGTAAAATTCGACCTTAATTCAGTATCATATTACCAAAAAAGGTAAAATAGTGTCTAAAACTAAACCCAACATCCCTTTATCTTGTAGCAGTCATTAAAAATTATCAAGAGTTCTTTTGTAATTATATTAAATAAATTTCACAAAAATTTAGGTAAAGGTCTGGATACCATAAAGTTATCAAAACACAATAACTGCAGTTTACACCGATAATGAACTCATGAACAGTCACATATCAAAACTAGCGAACCTAGTCCTGATGTTTCACTATAAACTGAAAGCAACTTTGTAGCAAAAGCAAAAACAAAATAAACTACCCCCACAGATACCTCTGAGCGAACAAGTTTGCAAGTCTCCTTAACAGGAAAGGGCCTACAAACCATGCCATTCTCAGCTCTAAAGTTCAAAATCTCCTCCGAACGGTTGCGTACAGCATGCAGCTCATTATCATCACTGGTGGCGTTACTAGTAACATCACCACTACACGTCTCATCACCTTCAGTTTCTCCATCCAATAATAGCTCCTGGGAGACAAAATTGTTGATGCTACGTCTAGACCGTCCTCGTCTTGGTTTTTTGACGAATCCAAAGCAACCACAGCAGGCAATCATTTTGGAAATTGAAAACCCCTTATAATCTCCCATCACAGCATCAATCTGACTCACCTCAAACGGTTAAAGCCAATAATATCCTAATAACTAACTTCTCTGCTGACCCTGCAAATTGCTTTCACAATAGTACTCTCATCAAAAATGGGTGAAAGCCAAATTGGGATACCTCAAATGCACAAAACAAGATTGTAACTGCTCCTTAAAGGAAAAATAATTACCTGATATGACAGGAAGGGAAGGGCCTCAAGCCCTGTTTAACATTGCTATTCTAAAGGATGCCATTCAGCTAGGTGGAGAAAACGGCTACAGAAATTAAAGCCACTACGATTCACACCCAACATTGCGACAACTCCAGTTTATAACAACGGTTGCAGGCTCAGCCCACAACTCACCACCAAGAAATTCGTTGACCTGGACAAGAAACACATTTTAAAAATAAAAAAATAACATTGAATAAATTGGGGAAAAAAGAAAACAGAAGCTTTGGACGCCATCAAAGAGAAACGTCAACGACAGAGTCTATCATTATAATTAATAATTAATAATGAAAGGTTCAACAATTAACCTCTCTTTGTTTTTTCCTTGGGGAAAATGACAAAATGGAAGAACCCTATCTCTGCGGCTCCGAAAGCCTGAAATTCCAGCACGAATCAAGGGCTTTCAGAGTAAGACTGGGAACTCAAAATCCAAAATTGAATCGAGAAAGCTGCAATTACCACAGGAGTAAACCGAGGGAAACGAAAACCCTATTGCAATTGCAATTGTGAATGAGGAGGAGAACGCGTTGGATGGAGGAATCGTAATGCGGAAAAACCCTAGGCGGAAGGAAGAAATCGATCGGGACGAAAAGGGTAGAAAGAGACTGAACAAAAAATGAATAAATACAGCGAAATGTGAATGTGCGAAGCTAAAAAGAGGGGCAGTATTGCAATTAAAAAAAATTGTTCAATTTTTAGGAGGAATTCAACAACGGTAACAGGTTGGCCACGTTGGGATCACTCATTTATCAGACTAAAAATACAACTTAGTATAACAGTTTCTAGCATAGAATTACAACGATATCTCATTATTAGACACGCCATAAATGTATTTTTAATTTTAAAATAAATATTTTTAATATACACACACTGAAATTCATTCTTAGTATTTTCTTATTAATACTATTAATATAATAAAAGACAACTTTTGTTTTCTATATTTCTTTTGTTTCAGTAAAGGTAGGAATAGGATTCTTAAAATGTTTTGGGGCTCAATGACAAAGAAATAAACATTTTTTGTTCCAACGGTGAATAGTAACCTTTTGAAGTGTTTAAGGTTATCAAACTTCAGTTGAATTCTTTTATTTTCGGGGGAGGTTCGACTATTTATTAAGTACTCAAGTTTGTTACACGTTAATGTCCTTAATTTTGTTTGAATATATGATTCTACCTCCATCTTACTCCGGGCTTCGAACAATGTCATTTCGCAATTATGCATTAATAATCATATGATCAAAAGTTTAACAATTATTGAAGTTGTGGCATCTCAAATCTCAAATTCGAAGAAGGGTTTTCTTCTTCATGTTTTTTATAACCATTTGCTTCGAACCAAGGACTGCTTAATACTGCCCAATCACTACAAGGAAGACATTCTTCATTAACGAATTTTTGGCATGCTGTGTAATTGCATTTGTACCCAAGAGACAAAGACAAATGCAGGGCCTACCATGATATTTTACATCGCAATCATTTTCTTAAATGTTGTACTAGTCACATGCACTAAAGTTTTGCATCGATACCTACTCAATAATGAAAGGTTCAACTTGTTTGAAAAGGCTCACAATTTCTTGATGACAGTTAAGTGCTTGTTTGGATTATATTTTGGAAATTCTCTCATTCCAAAGTAGAAAAATGAAAAATAACAATTTGTTACAGAAAAATGAAAAGTAACAATTTGTTACTTTGTCCAACGGCAATTTAAGGATTGAAACTGCTACCACCGGCTGATTTACGAAATAGCACTTGCAGAAGCATTGGGTCGATTCCTATTTATCAAACTTATGAATTGCAAAATCAAATGCTCCATACATTCTTTTCCAATACAGTAAAATTATGTCCATCCAACATTTCTCGTGCGGAAAAATCCTTACTCTTAATTTCCAACTTCTTACTGTCTAGTTTCCTTACAGTATCACCAATCATGAGAACAAATTGTCCAGCAAGTTGGGAAACCAGCCATCTATTTTGGTAGAAACAAAAATAAAAATACCATTTATCACATATCTTGCATCAGCTAAGAGACTTTTCTCTTTTATTGCATGTGCGACTACACTGTTTTAGTTGACTATTTTTTCTTGGATGTACCTAAAATACAAATCTACCTTGGCTTAATAGGAAGCATCTTCAGCCAAGAGTCTAAAAGACAATTCGGAAGTGTTCTTGTTGCAACATGTCTCTATGCACAAGCAGCTTCAACAGCTAAACTCTTAGCCACGCCTCTACAAGGGTCTCCAAATGTGTCAATTGAGATTCCAACACTACAACTGCTAGATCCAATGCATGCCTGTTTAAGATCATTTGAGTCAGTCTAAACCAAAGTGAAACATATCAATGTAACAAGGAAAAGAGAAGGCTAAGAATCTGTTTGAATACAAACTTAAAAGAGTTTTTTAGAGTTTATCTATTGAAAATAAAGAGTTTTTTTCAGTACAGAAGCTCTTAAAAACACTTTTATCTAGTACAGAAGCTCTTAAATACACTATTATCTTGTATAAAACAGACTCTAAATATTAGATTATACCTTCTGCACGATAGACAGAGCCTTGTTGCTGCTACAGCGTCCATGGTGGAAGTTTCCGCAGGTCCCAAGGGGTGTTCCATAGCTTGCAAATTTAATGGAAGAGATGACCTGGCTATGATGAGGGCAAGTGAGTGATAGTACAGGACCTACTTTTCTTCCTGATTCTGTATCTGAGTTCCACAAGTCTACAGGTGGTGGATGAGAATCTGATACATGTGCACACAAGCTTTCTGTCTGTTTTGTGACAAAAGATATTTGTGTTGGATCACCTCCACTTTCCTCAAACAATACAAGAGTGTTGCCACTTGGTTTCAACCAAGATCGCGGTACATGGTATCTGCAACAGGGTTAATGTCTCGGTGAGATTATAGAGTCAAGATTATTTCATTTTCCAACTTTTCTCATTGTTGTAAAATGTAATTAGGACAGATTTGTGACAGATTTGTTCTATAATGATTAGGAGATTTGTTCTGTAATTAGGACAGATTTGTTCTATAATAATTAGGAGATTTGTTCTGTAATTAGGACAGATTTGGCTGATTTGATTTGTACAGTTTTTATTTCCTTATTTCCTTAATTAGGAGACTAGTAGTCTATATAAATATATTTTGTACAGACTCTCAATAATTAAGCAATTCAAATATTATTCAAATAATATTCTGTCTCTTTTTTCCAAGTTGGTATCAGAGCTCCCGATCCAGGGGGCTTTGCTTCCGCATCGTCTAGGCAGCCTTCATTGCTGCGAATTGAATCTGTTCACTTTTAGCACCTACCCAGCTGCTGTTCTTTGACCAAGCCACCACAGACTTGGTCGTCGACTATCCCTGATTCTGTCCCAGGGGTAGTTTTAAACGCGGTTACTGTTCACCAGACTCCTATTTCTGCATTTTATCATTCTCCCAATATGTCTGAAGATAAGACAGCCCCTGTTTTGAGTACCAACGATTTACAGGTTCTGCAAAGCCCTTATCGCCTTGATGGGCGAAATTATTTACAGTGGGCTCAATTGGTTCGCACAACCCTCAAGGGAAGAAAGAAGTTGAATCACATTGAAGGAGACCCTCCAGCCAAAACGGACCCAAAATATGAAGCTTGGGATGATGAAGACTCTCTGATCATGACCTGGCTGTGGCATTCTATGACACCGGAGATCAGCCGAAATTGCATGTTTTTCTCCAATGCAAAGGAAATTTGGGAGAACCATAGAAAGACATATTCTATGAAGAAGGATACTGCAGCGTGTTATGAAATAGAGAGCAAGATCTTTAATACCAAGCAAGGGAGTCTTTCAGTAACAGATTACTACGGAACATTGAATGGTTTGTGGATTGAGTTGGATCAATATCAGAATTTGAAAATGAAGTGTACAGTTGATTCAGACGCACTAACAGAATTCCTAGAAAGGGTGCGAGTCTTTAAGTTCCTACATGGACTAAACTCAGAGTTTGATCCGATTCGGGTTCAAATTTTGGGTAACAATAAACTTCCTTCTCTCTCGGAGGTGTTCCACATTGTACGAGGTGAAGAAACTCGGAGGTTAGTTATGTTGGAAGAAGGCAGTTCCATTGATGGTTCAGCCTTGGCTACGAGTAAGGGTCCTCTGGATGGTTCAGCCTTAGCTAGTGGCAAGGGTCCTATAAAAGGCTCTTCATTTGGAAAGCCACCAATAAAAACTAGTCGTGATGATCGGTGGTGTAGTTATTGCAGGAAGACGGGCCATACTAAGGAGACATGCTATAGGCTCCATGGGAAGGAGAAGGTCCTTGAGCGAACTGGAGGGTTCAAAGGGGGGCCTACACAACGACGTGTTAATCAAGTAACATCTGACCATGAAAGTGCCCCATCTATCCCACCAGCAGAAAATGAGGTACTAGCTCTCAGCAAAGCAGAGTTGGAACGCCTAAGGGCTCTTTGGACTCTCTTAGTAAGACATCTAATTCTTGTTCCTTAACCATGACTGGTAAGAGTTCTAGCTTCCTATCCTTTAATGCTTCTAATACTGAGAATATTTGGATTATAGACTCTGGTGCTACTGATCATATGACACCTCATTCTCCTTATTTTTCATCCTATACCACTTCATCTAGTAACCAACATATCACTGTTGCTAATGGTTCTCATACCCCTGTTATTGGTTGTGGCAACATTCAACTTCAATCTTCCCTCCTTTTAAAAAATGTGCTTCATGTTCCACAACTATCTAACAACCTCTTGTCTATTCATAAGATCACCCAAGACTTAAACTGTGCAGTCACTTTTTTCCATTCCCATTGTGTTTTTCAGGATCTTGCCACGGGGAGGACGATTGGAATTGCTAAAGAGCAAGACGGGTTATATTACCTACAACATGAAGATAGTAAAGAGTGCACCAAACAAAAGGGACTCACATCCAATCATCAGATGAGTTCAGAATCTTGGTCTTCCTCCCAGATATAGCTTCAACACAGGCGTCTTGGGCATCCTCCTTTTAGTGTCCTTAAGTCATTATTTCCTTTTTTGTTTACAAAAGTGTCGGTTGAGTCCTTTCATTGTGATGTTTGTCAATTTGCTAAACATCATCAAACAGTTTTTCTTCCCAGTAATAATAAAAGTTCAAAACCTTTTGATCTTGTTCATTCAGATGTGTGGGGGCCTGCATCTACTTCTAATATTTCTGGTGCCAAGTGGTTTGTTTCTTTTATTGATGACTGTACACTAGTCACCTGGATTTTCCTCATGAAAGATAAGTCTGAAGTTTTCCAATTGTTTTTTAATTTTTACCAAATGGTCCAAATACAGTTTGGGAGTCCTATTAAGAGATTGCGTTCTGATAATGGAAGAGAGTATGTAAATCAAAATCTCTCCAATTTCCTTAAAGAAAAAGGAGTTATTCATGAGTTAACCTGTGTGGACAGCCCCCAACAAAATGGGGTTGCAGAAAGGAAAAATCGTCATCTCCTTGAGGTTACTAGAGCATTACTCTTCCAAATGTCTGTCCCTAAGTCTTACTGGGGGGAAGTTGTTCTCACTGCCACATATTTAATCAATAGATTACCCTCTCGTGTTCTTGATGGTGTTAGCCTTGTTCAAGTCATGACCTCATTCTATCCTTCTATACCCATTATGACCAGCCTTCAAAGTCGTGTCTTTGGTTGCTCTGTTTTTGTCCATGTTCATAGCACTCATCGGGGAAAGTTAGATCCTCGGGCTATCAAATGTGTCTTCATAGGTTATGCCTCAAACAAAAAGGGATACAAATGTTATCACCCCCAAAGTCGTCGTGTCTATGTCTCCAAGGATGTCACATTTCATGAAACAGAATCTTTCTTCACTAGTACTCAGTGTCAGGGGGAGAGTAATCCAGAAGAAGCTAAGTTCCTTGAGTTGTCATCTATTCCTTTGTTGCAAGATTCCGCTCTTATGAAGGATAACAAAGACCCTGGACCAATGCAAAATAATGAAGTTAGACGTTTTGGGATCCAATATCAATGAAGAGAAAAACCCGACCTGGTCGAACAGCAAATTCAATTGTTCGAACCGGAGGTAAGAACTCATAATCTTGAGGACACCTTAAATATCTCTTGTGATCTTAATCCAGATAATTTACCAATTGCCTTAAGAAAAGGAAAAAGATCTTGTGCCAAATATCCTATATCCCAATTTGTGTCTACTAAAAATCTTTCTATGCAGCACCAAAGTTTTATTTCAGCTATTGATTCTATCATAATCCCTACATCAGTACAAGAAGCCTTAAAGGATAAGAACTGGGTTCAAGCCATGAACGATGAAATGGGTGCATTGGAAAGGAATGAGACTTGGGAGATTGTAGATAGACCAAAGGATAAGAAAGCAGTGGGTTGTCGGTGGATATACACAGTTAAGTATCGCTCTGATGGCTCACTAGACAGGTATAATGCGAGGCTGGTTGCCAAAGGATACACCCAAACCTATGAGATTGATTATGACGAGACTTTTGCTCCAGTGGCAAAAATGAATACTGTCAGAATTATCCTCTCCTTGGCAGCACACTTTGGTTGGGAGATGCATCAGTTCGATGTTAAAAACGCCTTCCTGCATGGAAGTTTAGATGAAGAAGTATACATGGAAATTCCACCTGGATATGGTGTTGCTGGTGGAGGGAGTAAGGTTTGCAAATTAAAGAAAGCCTTGTATGGCCTTAAACAGTCACCTCGGGCCTGGTTTGGGAGGTTCACTCAGGCCATGGTATCTTTGGGGTACAAACAAAGCCAAGGTGACCATACTCTCTTCATAAAACATTCACAAGACGGAAAACTCACTCTACTTTTAGTCTATGTGGATGATATGATTATTGCAAGTGACAATGAGAAGGAAAAACAGAATTTGAGGGAAAAGTTGGCTGCTCAATTTGAAATGAAGGATCTCGGTAAGCTAAAGTACTTCCTTGGGATAGAAGTTGCATACTCCAAACATGGTATCTTTATTTCTCAAAGGAAATACATTCTTGATCTTCTTAAAGAGACTGGTAAGTTGGGCTGTAAGACCACTGGAGCACCCATAGAGCAAAATCATAGAATTGGGAATAATGAGGAAAGCCCAAAGGTGGATAAGACACAGTACCAGAGACTTGTGGGAAAGCTCATCTATTTATCCCACACCAGACCAGACATAGCCTATGCGGTTAGTGTGGTTAGTCAGTTCATGCATGATCCAACAGAAAAACACTTGCAAGCAGTAAATAGAATTATTCAGTACTTGAAGGCTTCTCCAAGGAAAGGATTACTATTTAAAAAGGAGGGGAACTTATCCATGGAAGTGTATACTGATTCTGACTATGCAGGACCAGTTGTTGATAGGAGGTCCACCATAGGATATTGCATGTTCTTGGGTGGAAATTTGGTGACATGGAGGAGCAAGAAGCAAAATGTGGTTGCAAGATCAAGTGCAGAGGCATAATTTAGAGCTATGGCACAAGGGGTCTGTGAACTGTTATGGATGAAGATAATACTTGATGACCTCAAAATAAAGTATGAAGCTCCTATGAGACTGGTTTGTGATAATAAATCAGCCATCAGCATTGCGCACAATCCAGTTCAACATGATCGGACAAAGCACATAGAGATAGACCGACATTTCATTAAGGAAAAATTGGACAGCGGTCTTATAGCCACCGAGTACATTCCCACCGAGTACATTCCTTCAAGACTGCAGTTGGCAGACATGTTCACTAAGGGACTTCCCACCGAGCAGTTTAAAGATCTTACTTGCAAGCTGGGAATGATAGATATACATTCACCAGCTTGAGGGGGAGTGTTGTAAAATGTAATTAGGACAGATTTGTGACAGATTTGTTCTATAATGATTAGGAGATTTGTTTTGTAATTAGGACAGATTTGTTCTATAATAATTAGGAGATTTGTTCTGTAATTAGGACAGATTTGGCTGATTTGATTTGTACAGTTTTTATTTCCTTATTTCCTTAATTAGGAGACTAGTAGTCTATATAAATATATTTTGTACAGACTCTCAATAATTAAGCAATTCAAATATTATTCAAATAATATTCTGTCTCTTTTTTCCAAGTCTCATTTATGATATCCAACACTTACAGTGCCTGTGATGGTTTTCCACAATTCTTGCGACATTTGGATGCACTATAAGGTCCTCTATAATTGCATGAGTCTGTGCAACCAGCATTTGGAGAGACATATGTAGGCCAGTATCGCCCAATGCTTTGCCCGTTCACCCAAGCCTCACCTTTTCCCATTCCAGTGAAGTCAATTGCAACTGGATTATTGCCGGATGGAGCAGCAAAGTTTGTCTAATCCAACATGTACTACATTAGTTAGTTGCAGAAATATTTTTCTTAAAGTAGCAAACCTCCTTACTTATAACAAGTGAAACATGAAAATGAAAATCAGATTACCTTGTACCAAGTCAATGGTTGATTCTTAGGGAAGGGTGATTGTGACCATTGTACAGAACTACCACTAGACAGACCTAAGTCTTCACCTTTGAGGCCAACCTGTATCAAGAAAATTAAGACTGCATCCTATGACTTCAACCAACAAGGAAATATGGAATCCAATTGGCTAAAGTTCTATATCTCTGGGCTCTTGAAAATAACAATAATTGCATTTGATTTCTTCTCTTATTGATCTATGAAATTCGTTGGTTGGAAAAAAAATAAATTAATGCAACATACAAGTAAACTTTATGGAAGGATTTATGTATTCCATGAATCTCACCAATGTTTACTTAAGGTACATAGAAAGGAGAAAGAATAGTCTTCAACCAGATATGAAGACTAACCTGATATGTCCACTTCTGGGAGGAGAGATCAATAGTGTTGCCATTTGTCGAACCTTTCAATATCACTGGACCAGTGATCCCAGCACCCCATGTGTCAAAAAATGCTCCATAGTTCTGATGTGTACAAGGTTCAGTTAGTCAATGTAGTAATGACCAATGAGATAAATCACTAGTTGAGCAAGCTAGATCATGTGGAATGGAAAGCTGAACCTGAAGGCCCACGGTTAAACTCAATAGATCAATTGTGTTCTTTCCAGCCACTAGTGTGACAGGGATGTCCACAGTAAACTTAGATTTGCCACTGTTGCCTGCTTGACTACCTGAAAAGTTTTCAGGAATATCGCAGATAATTAATTAGTTAATTCAAGAAGTTAATTGTAAGAATAAACTCTATACATTTTAGGAAGGAACACAATGAGCTACTGCTCTTATGTTATTACTTGATTTCAAATCAATCTTGATTTTATTTTCCGAACATCTTCAAAGCAATTCCAATTTTGCATGAAAAACAAGGCCAGAATTACAATCATGAATCATGTTAAACATGGTGTATCCTCTTCTACACATTTAATGAATCTAGAGTTTCGTAACTAACATATTTTGAACTGTCTGTGATAGAACAGACTAGTACCAAGTGTTCCATGTAATATCAGTGATTGATTTTGATTCGAGTAATATACATTGCCACTTCTGACTTTTAGTCGTAAAGTCAAAACATTTAGGCTAGAACTAGAACAGTCATCATTGCTTTAATTTTATTTACCTGCGAGCTTCCCGTTGATGAAAGCATGAAGGGCATGACCAAGTGATTCAATATGAAGGACAGTTTGAGAACTGGCATCACCCTTATAATCAAGGCTTTCAAAAAGAACACAAGAACAGTGTTATCAAGGAACAGAGAACTATAGGTTAGAGGAAATGACTATCAACCTCAGAGGCCTATATCTACCTTATTGAGTACCACAAGTAATCACTTTTATCAGCTGTTGTATTTATTTGCTCCAGTAATCCAGTTTGTGAGAATGAATTGTCCTTCGAAATGCCCACTGGTTCACTTATCCAACTCCATCCTGTACTAGAAGCTTCTAAAGAACCAATATCTTCTTTTGAAGATTCAGCTATGAAGCTTGAAATTGCAGATGCAGAATTAATCTGTCATACAAATGTTAGTTTTACTACATGCTACTTACTTCTTGGATAGCAGATAATAGAAAAGATTTTGGCTATCAATACTATTAATTTCACTTTCATAGTAACTCCACTCAATTAAACTATCTGTTTTGATTGGGAAATCAACCAATATCACATTTATTGTCAGGGAAACAACCACTCATTAGTGAAGCCGCAAACATGAAAATAAAGTTGTTGAGGCAAACCTTTGCAGTATTAAGCACTACATTCTTGCAGTCTGGTAAGATGCTCACAGACCATGCAGGCAAGTGATATGAATTGCCACTGAAATTTACTGTTACATCAGAAGTGGTGCCTACATTAGCAAGGAAGGCCGCACATACAGATCCTGTCTTGTAAACTGCAGCCTGGGGTTTAGATAGTTAAAAAATACATTATGGAGAGACTAATTGTTCATAAAGCATATATAATGTGGTGATGCAGAATGTAAAACAGGTATCAGCATTTTGTCACAAATAATAAAAAGCAACACTTGGGAAATTGCAAAGGAGGTGGTAACCAGAGAAACCTATGCCAATGAGCCAGTGTACCAGTTGATAATTAAGTTATCCACTCTACACCGGGCATTTCCAGGGAAACAAACTCACAAATTTTATATGCTACGAGAATTTCAGGTACTGAAAAAGTTTATCCAGAAATTATATCCCAAGACATGGAGTAATACGTCGTAATGGACCAAAATTTCAATACAAATCACTCATACCTCTAGGTTTGGACCAAGGGATGTAATTGTTGGATCAGTAGCTATCAATGCTTCCTCACAAAGCTTTATGGCTTTATGAACTTCTTTAAGGTGGCCCCACTTAGGCTGTCTAATAAGCCCTGAAGCATTCAGTAAAGATATTTATAAAAATCCACACAAAATTGTCCAGTGTAATTTGTCTTCTATAAAAAACAAATAAATTGTACATACAATTATTTATCTTCTTCAATGCATAAAGAAGCTAAGCTGCACTCAACTAACAATTGGTGGTGCATTTGTGATGTTTACAATGTCAAAAATGGATATGCAATATGAAGGTATAATGAGTGCATACCATACTCATCAATTGGTGCATCATAATCATAACTTGTAGCAATGAAAGGTCCACCAGAAGTTCGGTCAAAGTTAGTGCCTCCATGGTACTGTTTCAGAGAAGGCAATAAAGAGTTGCAGATTTCCTCTTAGGGATAAATTTTTTTCTTGAAGCATACTTAAAATGAACTTAAGCCAAATTTAAGCTTGCAATACCATATAATAATTTTGAAATGTTCCTCCTCGCTGGAAAAAGCGTGCCACAGCAAATGCAAGATCTTCCACAGGTCTGTAAGGAACAGCACCACCAAATGAAAGAAACCTAGCATTCCAAGGAATTCAAAAAGATTATTTAAAAAAAAAAAAAAGTAGAATCAAGAATGTGATGAGATACAAAACCAATTAGATAACAATTACAAGATATATTTCTTTGAAATAACTAACTGATTTAAATAGAAAAAGATACTAACCATCCACTCCAATTCTCAGTCCACATTTTTGGTTTTGTGTTGGAGTTTGGTGTAAATTGATCGCAGTAAAATCCATTGCATGTATTAATCTGTGGGTGGTTACAGTATCAATAAAGTGAAACGAATGTAGACAGAACACTCTTTGCTATTTCCAGGAAGACAACAATCTAGTAAAACATAAACAGCCAACAATTGATGTGGACAAAGATAAGGGAGAAAACTTACAATTGGATCAGGAGCATCAGATTGCTGACACATGACCCAGGGAACCCCTGTATCAAGAGATGTAGCCATAGTTGCTGCCCACTTGATGTAGGATTTAGCCGCAGCACCATAAGCCGAATCAATGTTTCCATACTCATTTTCAATCTGCATTAGAAAGTACAAATATTCTCATCTTGACAAACATAACCTTTTGACACAAAATAAAGCTCCAGAAAAATATTATAACTATACTTCAACAACTGGATGTTACTAATTTTATTTTATTTTGTTGAGAAAAAAAAAAAACATGTACGCAAAATTGACTATGTATATAACCAAAAATCATGAATTTGTGAAATCAAAAGCATAAAAACCTGAGATAAAATAACAGGTCCTCCCTGTGAGGCATATAGTTTCTCTTGCTTGATCATATCCACAATTTTGGCAGTGAACCGCTTCATTTCTGCCTGAAGACAAAGTTTTGGTAAGTAAATTCGGATCCGAGGATAACATAACAAAGCAGAAGGAAGAGGGTTACCTTGAAGGGTTCATTGTCAGTTCGGAACTTAATTCCCGGAATGAAGTGCAGCCAAAGAGGGAAACCACTGATGAGAAATGAGACCCCTCAATTAGACACAAACACTCCTAGAAAAGAAAACACAGAATGGACCAAACTTTACCCATAGTTCCATTCAGCACACACGTATGGTCCAATCCGAAGATGCACATATAAACCCGCCGCAGCCACTGTCTTCACAAATTTCACCAAATCCTTCCTCCCATCAAAATCATACTGCCAATATTCTTTTCATTAGTCTCATCATTCAAAACCACACAAAAAATAGCTCAACATTGCATGCTCTCAACAAATGCTGAAACTGGAAGCCATAAAAATATGCAACAAAAAATGGGAAGAGAAGAAATAGAACCTGGCCTCGAACTGGTTCGTGCAAGTTCCAGAAAACATAAGTTTCAATCACATCTAATCCTCCATCTTTGGATTTCTGAATAAGGTCTGGCCACATCTGCAACATTACCCTCTTTAAGTTCAAAGAAAAAACACACACAAGAGAGAGAGAGAGAGAGAGAGAGAGAGAGAAACCTCTGGAGTACTACGAGGGTAATGAATGGAACCAGAGATCAAGACCCTGCGCTTGCCATCGATGACCAATGCTCTGTGATCATACTCCACATTGGCGCAAAATAACGTGGGAGTGTGAATGCAGAGGAACCAAAACAGAACCAACACAATCTGTGTCGCTCTCATTTTTTCTTTATTGCCAGAACAGAGAGAAGGAAGCAAACCCAGAAGGAAAGGAAGAGACTTTTTGTGAACCAAAATGGCAACAAAAAATGGGGTTGCCTTGTTAACAAACACAATGCAAAGCAATCTGCAGTGCTTTTACGTGTTACTTGTGTTGAAATGCCATCGCAGAAACAGGTGGTAAAACTTGGAGAGAGGGAAGGGAATCAAAAGGGAGAGAAGTAGAGTGAAGAGTGGAGCTTAGCAGCAAATGTAATATCTATTTATTATTTATTATTAATTATTTATTGTGCAGTGAGAAAAGGACACGCCAAGTGTCAGGTATGTGTTAATGTAGGAAAAGGTTGTCGGTGGTGTTGCTCTGCGTGTCAATGGAACATAGAGGAAAATGGAGTGTTTTTCAATGTGGCATTTGAGAAGAATGTGGGATGTGAGATTTGGGCATTTGGCAGAAAAGATTAAACTGTTAAAGAAAGAGAGAAGAGAAGGGTATGAGTAAGCCGTAAGCATGAAGCTGTAACCAATAATAACCATACTGTTTCAGACAAAAACGTATATTAACCTTCATTTTCTTTCATTTTACTATTTGGATATTCAACTCAACTATTCTTGTTTTCTTTTTTGGTTCTGTTAAGTGTTAACCAATCTAAAAAGTGAAAGAAAAAGGTTAAAAGAAAAGGAAAAGGAAAGAAATAAGATGGTTTTCTAAATTAGAGTAGGAAAGCATGCAACATAACAAATTTAGTTTTTCCAAAACAAAAAATTAAGTAGGTCATTTTAATTATTAGTCTATAGTGATATGTGAAAGGGATACTTTCATTTTAATTATTATTTGTTCCTTATTTTATTGAATATAGTCTTATCTTTAAATATTTTTAATTATATTTTAATTTTTTCTCTCACTTTACACACTAATCAACAATTATCTCTACATTCATATATTACTTATATAACTTTTTTTTTATTTAATTCAAATGCAAAGAGGCTTGATCCCCACTGGTAAAAATAATATTAATATCCTAATACATTTATAATTTTATTATATATTTATATTTACTGTAATGCTAACTGATTATTCAATTATCTTAAGGATTCAAGTTTAAATTTAGTAGATGAAATAAATTTGATTGAGATGAAAATTTTCATTAAAGATAATTAGATAAGTTATTTGACGAATATTAGTCACTAAAAAATTAGTAAATACTTTTTACTAGTGACATGATTATAAAGAAAAATTGAAACACTATTTTTTTTCTATGATTTGTCTCTTCTAAAATGAAAGTTGCAATTTAAAAGATAAATTATAATAATAATCATTGTTTAAAAAATTAATGATGAAAAATCATGATAAAATTAAATATATATATATATATATATATATATATAATTATAAATTCACTATAATATTTATAGTTAAATTTTTAATTAAAATTATTATTATACGTTATTCTCTAAAAAGTAATTTTTTCTCTTTTTAAAAGAGTCAAATCCGTGTTTATGATATGGTTAAGTAATATGACATGATTATGTTAAAAAAAAACTAATAAGTGAAATGTATAATTTATTTCTTTAGAGTAAATAGTATATGCAAGTATCGTGCAAAGAAAAAAAATACATAATCTTATTTTTTTTTATTTTTATAATCTTAGTCTTTTAATTTTATAAAATTCACAATTTTAATCTCATTAAAGTTCATTCATTGATCATTAAAATTGTAACTTTGATCATAACCTAATATAGATAGGTTACACAATGATTAATATTTAATAATATTTAAGTTAATTTGTATTTTTAGTTTTATCTCATTTTTTTATTTTCATGAGATAAAAATAACTAATAATGAATTTTAATCTAAATATTAATTATCATATCATCTACTTAATATTATTAACATTACAATTTTAATGATTAACGAATAAATATTATATAAAGTGACTAAAATTATAAATTTTATAAAATTTAAAGACTTAAATTGTAAAATTAAAAATAGATAAATCAAAATTATGAATTTAATATTAGAGAGGAATAAAAATTGAATTCAGCCATATGTATATTTATAATAGTTTAATTTTACTTATTTATTAATTTTAATAGTATATATAATGCTTGAAAACAATCTTACTTCAGGGAATTTTTTTAGCACCCAACTTAAAAATCACTAATACTTTACACATCGGTTACTAATAAGTGATAAAGAAAAATGTTTTATGTTTTTTTATTAGAAAAAAAAAAATAGAGTATTGTCCCTTAAAATACTATTGGATTTTGACTTACTAAACATATATTTTCCATCTACAATAAATTATAGTAACTTATTTTATAAAATGATGTAAATAATTATATGAATTGATAATAAAATTAATAGGAATAAACCTTTATGGGTGCAAATGAATATCAACATTGATTGATATAAATAATTGTAACTTTCAGTCCTTAATCAAGTTGTGTAAGTCTTGAATCACAACTTTAAATATAAATTAAACTATATTAACAAGAAAATATTCACTTTATACATTTTTATACACTCATAATATTTAACATAAATTAGTATCGTTTTTTATAAATAAATACTTCTTACTCATATCTATTTAAAATAAATAAATGAATTATATTGTCAAATTTTAATAGACTTATGGGTATAATAAAGAGATAGAATGAAAATCGAGAAGGATATAAAATAAATGAGTCAAAATTAATGAATTAAAGAAAAGGATATGCATTAATTTATTTGTTCGAATAGACAAGTGTAAGTGCCTAAGTGGATACAAAAAAAAGAATCAAAATTTTACAGCCGAAAAGTGGAAAAATGAAGCGCACGGGGGAACTGGGCAACTACTAACAACTTCACCGGTATCAGTGCCCACAATTATTAATTATTATTAGCAGCCATTATAATAGATTAATAGTCACTTATTGGATTTTTTAAATAAAATATTTTTTTGTAAAATCTGGAAGATAGCAAATATAAAAGTATTATTTAAATTAATTTAACAAATATTACAACTTTGATGTATTAAAGTAAAATAAAATACAACATTACTTTTCGTATATTATACCATCTCTATTTTAAGAGAAATATTATGTTAAATATAGATAAGAATAAAAACGAAAACTAAACAAACATAATGAAACTTTTAATTTTATGAAAAACATATATATTAAAAAATAAATTAAACTAATTTGAAAGAAAAGAATTGTTCTTTAATCATAAATTTTTTATTTATTTTTATCTTTAATCGATATAAAGTTTGAATTTTTTTTATAATAATATAATTAATATTGATTGGAAAATATTAAAATATAATTTTTTAAATTGCAGGGATTATTAATGCTTAATTAATAAAAAAATTAATAATAAAAAATTATTATTTGAAAGAATATAAAATAAGAGATTGAATTATTTTCAAGACAAAGTACTTTTAGGACTGTGTGGATAGTTTTAAAAAGTAGATTTATTATATTTTTTAAAACATTAAATAATGAAAATTACAAAATTTTAAGTTTAAATTTTAGTATCGTTATTATAATTTTGATAAATAAAAAATATTAGATAATGAATAAAGAAAATAATTTTCTTTTTTAGTATTTTGCCAACAGGAAGGGAAATGTTAGTTATACTTTATAAAATATTTTCTTTATTATAAGTTAAAATTTATTAAAAAATTTAAATTTATGGATTGTGCATATCATTTAATAAGTCTCTTTTCATATTTAACAATAAGATTCATTAAAATTCGTAATTTTTAATCAATAAAAAAATATAAGAGATTTTTATTAGCATTTTTTCCAACGAAAACTGATTATAGGTTTGGAACAATAAAGAAAAAGGTGAGGAATGAGAAATGATAAAAGAATCATTTTATTTTCATATAATATGCATCATCGTGATGAAATTTTTTTTATGATCATGTATATCTTTTAGATAGATAATTTTATTTGAATAAGTATCAGTATTATGACGAAAAAAATTTCCCCTAAATATTTATCATAGTTCTATATAAAAATTCGAACTCTAACTCAATAATCAAAGTTATAAAACTTCCTTATCTATATGACAGATTTTTCTGATTTAGTTGTATTTTGCATTCTCAATTTTTTATTTAATCGTGAATTTTGCTTTTAATCTTGTTTTTCGAAATTTATATCTAAATTTTGAGAATTTTACGATTTGTATCTCCATTAATTGCCTGTTGTGAATTGTATCCTCTCTAAATTATTTAGGACTATACAAATAAGGAAAGTGAAAGTTTAAAAACATAAAATACATTTTCTTTTATATGGAATAGATGCATGCCACCACTACAGGACTATGACATTTCGTGGGAGTAAATAAATAGCAGAATTCAAAGGTTGATCACTTACTTCCAACCAATCCATTCACACCTAAATGACAAACAAGTGTCTCCTTTTCTTTATTTTTGTCTGAAAATTTAATAGGGTTCATTATCTAACAGTCTCATTAGATAGCTTCTTACCTAAACAAACACTCAATTCAATTCATGACATACCACTTATCTGTTATTCCAATTTCGGTGGACAATTTTTTTTTATTATCTAAAACTATAAAAATTTTAAAGTATAAATGAAGGTGTATTAATTAAGAGTTTTTGTTTTCAACTCCAATTCATTAGTCATAATAAAAGAGACATATATGATTTATAATACGGAATATAATTAACTGGTGAAAGTAAAATATCAGAATATGGATATAATAATGTAAATAAAATTAAAAGGTAATGACAAAAATTAAATTAAGATATGGTTTTTGGACTTCACTCAGCTATGTGGTCCATGAGAAGAATGAATGAAAAGATTGATATACTTGGTAGCCCATGCATATCACGAGTTGTGATGGTTGAGTCATTCAACAATTAATTCAGATTTCAGATACCATTTTTTTTTAACCAAAAATAAAAGAAGTTTGAAATCATTTTTAATTGGTAGGGGCATTTGTTCAAAAGCTTAGTAACCATGCACAACTTTCCTTCATGAGACGTGCATGAAATGTTTCGAATTTGTAAGCCATTATGAAAGATTAATTAATTGCGAAGCACACCACCATGCAAATTAATATTAATATTAATATTAGTTAAATTTTGAAATCAACTATCTCATTCTTTGAAGTGCCTCTAACATAGCGAGGTGATTAGTCACTGTTATAACGAGAGAATGGGACCATGAAAGCAACACAAAGCAGAAGACTCGGCCATATATATAGCAACTGTAGTAGCAATTTGGCCATTGACAATCGCTTCTGGCGTCATATTCACCACTAAAGTTCGTGTTTCATACATTCTTCATTAAAGTTTGAACGTAAGAAAAACCAAGGTATTAAATTTCCCAATTTAATTACCTCGCAAACCGAAGAACTACGCATTATAAAGATGCAAAATCATCGATTAAAGTTGATGTGGA